AAGAAAAAAGCTGCAAGTGGCACTGTGGCTCAAGTGGTAGAGTGCTAGCCTTGAGCTGAAGAGCTGAGGGACAGCGCCCAGGCCCAGAGTTCAGGTCCCATGACCGGACCCAAAAAAAACAAAAAACATTTCTATGTATATTGCATATATACTGCACAAACATATACTCAAAAGTGTCATAGTTAGATTCAAAATTATGCCCTAAAATATCCTTTTGAAGTATAATTTCCATTTCTTTTTAAACAAATATTTTACAATGTAAAAGAAATCCTCAGAGAAATTCATCATGCTAATTTTCTTTCCCTACAGCTTCTCAGTAAGAACACCATGCCTGAAATATAAATGTGATATAGACCAATATCCAGAAGAAAAAAAAAAAAGGTTTTTCTTCGCAAGTTAGTTACTACATACAACTATTCAATACCAAGAACAGGAAGCCCTAAGCCCATGTCAGGAGTGGAATGATTCCCAAAGGGCCTCAGGGGCAGACCACCTGGGCTTCTGTCCTACGCTCCCTGACAATGTACTTATCCTACTTACAGTGTATAACTCATTGGTTATTATAAGGAATAAAAGAGATAAAGTATGTGTGGATGCAAAACAGAAACTAGTGCACTGCAAGAAATTATTTAACTATTAAAATTTACTCAAATGAAATGCTTTGAACAAAAATTTAAATCTCTTGATATAAATAACAATATAATTTTAATTACTCAACATTATTATGATCACAAGACATGTTTTTCTTTTATCAAAACAAATGAAGACTAATTACATAAATATCTCAAAGCAGACTACCTGCCATTCAACTAGAATTTAGGATTATACATCTTTAATCTTTTCATTGTCAGTTTTAGAATATCCTACTAACAAATATGAAGCCATTTTTATGTTATATTCAGCACTCTACAGCACAAATTCGTGATTACAACTCCAGTACTCTGCCTTTATTAAATTAAAACTTCCATTATAACCATTACTCATTATTTGATATTTTCTTGTATTTGATTTTTCATAGCTTCCTTATTTAAATTTATATATAAAGTTGAGCATTGATAACACATACCTCAACATTATCTTTTTTGTGTGTTAGTGCTGACACTTGTACTCAGGTCCTCAGCCCTCACTCAGCTAATCTCTCTACCACTTAAGGTATGCACCTCCAGTTCCAGCTTTATGCTGCTTAACTGGAGATAAAGTGTCCCATGGATTTGTCTGCCTGGGCTGGCTTCAAACCTGGATCCTCAGATCTCTGCCCCCTGAGTAGCTAGAATTATAGCATGAGTCAGATTAGCCCTTTAGACTACTTTAGCTAATCTTTTCCCAACCGAATCAGATTAGCCCTTCAGACTAGTCTCAGCTTTCTTCCTCAATTTCTACCAATAGATCAGCAATTTCTGTCTTATCAGATCAAAATGAGCATCTGCAAGGATTTGCATTTCCTTCCTCAAAACTCAAGAATGTTTACCCTCCGTTTCCCGTTTCTCTCCTATTTTCTCTTGAACACACCTATACATGGAAACTGTTACTGTCAAATGACTGACGCTGTTCAACTGAAAAGCTTATTATGTCACCTTACTTGGTGGATCTTCAGCATTCATACAACTTCTTATTCTCTCTTTCAAAACATTTGCTCAGCTTGTGGGACTCCTATTGGCTGTTCTCTTTATTCAATAGTCATGTTTGTTCCACAAATTTTTATTGAGCATCTGTTATATGCTAGAAGTCATTCAGATGCTGAAGACTTTTTTTTTTACCTTACTGGCTGCTCCCTGTTATTCTGCTATACAGAATCCCATTCTTCTTCCTGAACTTTCAACACTTAATTCTCAGAGATACCAACCTTCTACTGCTCACATTATCTACCCTCATTGCACTGGCTATCCTAGCCATCTATTTGCTTATAACTTCTGAAACTTTGTACACTGAATTTTGTCCCAAAAAATAAGACTCATTTAGATTTACTTCTCCATTTAAATATATAAGAGGCTTTCAAATTAACAAGTCTAAGAGCCATCACCCCTCCATGCATTCCTCCCTCTGTTTTATGTATCTCAGTAAGTAGCAACTCCATTCTCTCAGTTACTGGAGCCGAACCATTTCAGGTCATCCTTAATGTCTGTCTCACTTTCCCCATAATCCAAATCCAATCCATTAGGAAATCCCCCAACCTCTACATTCATAAGATATCCACATTTTGACTTCTCAACACTTCTACCACTAGCTCCCTGCATAAGGCCCATACTTATTCTCATTGGAATTACTTTAGTAGCCTCCTTCAGAAATCCTTGTTTTTTATCCCTTTCCTTAGTGGACAGGGATAAATGTAAGTCGGAATGGTCTTTCTGAAGTGCTAGTGTTACATCACTTCTCTACAATTTTGCTGAATATAAAAGCCATGGTCTTGCTATGATCTATCATATTCTATGTGATCCTGAGTTCTGCCTTTAGCATTCTGACCTCCTCCCCACCTCACCTCATCTGGTACCGCTGTTCTCCTCTCTCATTTCACTCCACTTACACTTGTCCTGTGCTGTTCCTCAAACATGTTCCCGCACTATCTGCATTTGCATTACTTGTACTGATACCCACATGCTTCACCCTGCTATTTCCTTGGGATCTCTATATTATCTTCTCACTGAGGCTTTCCATGACTGCCTTATCTAAAATTACAAATGATGTCAAATTGCCAGCAACTCCCATTGTTTCCTACTCTTTTTCTGTAAAGAATTTTTCACTGTTTGCCTTAAAACTAGAGTGCCTGTCTATTCAAACCTCAGTACTATGAAAAAAAAACAAAAGGAAAAATCTTGTCCTTTTTTTTTTTTTGCACTGCTTCATCCTCCATGGACACATAGGACTCAATTCAATTCGAACTGAATGTTCAAGTTGAATGAATGGTCAGTTATTAACAATAGATCTCCTTTAAATAGAGACCTAACAACACTCTTATTGCCCTCAGATCTTTTACAAAAATCCTAGAACTGAAATCTCTCTCTCTCTCTGTCTCTCTCTCTCTCTCTCTCTCACACACACACACACACACTTGTGAATACACCTCAATTTCAGAGACCTTAAATTCATGCCTTCTCACTGACTCCATACAGAACTAGTATAATTAAATGTGTATAAGTCAAGCCATAGACATATGTAATTTAGATGGCTTTTAAAATGTGTGTAAAACATCAGTTTTTTGACATTTGGTAAAATTTTGTTTTGGTTGATGGTGGCACCATTTTGAAGAACAAAAAGATTAATTACCTTTTAATAAACAACATTATTTTTTAATAAACAACTTTTTTAATGAACAACTTTCTTAGGAGTAGTGTTTAAAGAAGTTTCTCTGGGGAAAAAAAGGTAAGTTTGAGGACATTCTTGTATTACATTTTTTAATATTAAAGGTTCTAATTTTGTCTTACTTTTTACACAATATAGTTCATATTTTATTCATTCTAATTTTTCAGATATATATATATACATATATTCTGACTTTTATCCATTCCATTTAAACACAGATGACCTGATGAAGTTCAATAACTGAAGCTTGAGAGTTAGTATATTCAATACAACTTTATTAAACTTAGAAAACATAAGCTTATAGCTGGAATTTCTGGGGGGGTTTTCCCTCTACTACTCACGTTTACAGAGCAAGATCCAAAAACAATAAAACAACAACAGCTGCTGTGCCTATGGCAACACTGACTACACTGAATTGTATTACAGTACAAATTCAAATTGTATAAAGTGCAAGTTGTACAAAGTGCAAATTCAGTAATCCAAAGAGAGTGCAATGTGCAAAAAAGTGTACACTGTTTCAAAAGTCACACAAATGCCAAAACAGGCCCGGAATTATCTATTTCTTGAAGTCATGCAACACTATATCCAGTTTTCCTGCTTTTTTTCTCCTACTGCAGAATACAGCAGGATCCAACTAATTATCAAATAAGAAGTGTAGCATCAGCACTCAATAAATGTGAAGGAAATATTATTGCCCATTTACTTAAATATTATTATTCACAGAACATTATGTTTTCATGACATCAACAATATAATTTTGTTTTGGGGGTTTTTTTGGATCCAGTCATGGGGCCTGAACTCTGGGCCCGGGCGCAATCCCTCAGCTCTTCAGCTCAAGGCTAGCGCTCTACCATTTGAGCCACAGCGCCACTTCCGGCTTTTTTTCTTCTTGCTTATGTGGTGCTAAGGAATCGAACCCAGGGCCTCAAGAATGCAAGGCAAGCACTCTACCACTGAGCCATCTTCCCAGCCCTAATTTTGAAAAATGCAAAATAATCGTGGAAGAATCATGTGTGTACTATACATCACTTATAATTTGAAACCTGTGAAGATTTTAATTTAGAACTTTTGATTCAAAACAAAAAATCACAAGTGAAATTAGGACTGTCTTCCATTCTTCAAACTTCTCCATGCCATGATGATGCAAAGTTCTCAATTATGTTTGTCTTATATTAAAAAATAAAGAATGACTAGTTCTAGTGAAATATTGGGAGTTGAACTGATTATTTCTAAACTCCAGTTTTGATCAATATTACATAAGAGGAAACATATAGCACATCTGGTTTGAAGGAAGTTAATGTATTATTGGGAAGTTAGTAACATATATTAGCTGTGTTACATAATCGCCAAAGCTCTTATTCATGAATTACGATATTGGCAAATATATATATATATATAGCCATTATTTTACCATGACAGATACTTGTAAATAAGCATTCCACAAGTATTAGCTAATTGATGACCCTTACAAGCAGCACTCTAAGATGGGATAAACCAAAAAGTAATTGTTATTCTAATATCCACTGTCAGACTTAAGTTATGAGGTCTGAAGCTCTACTCAAAATCACAAAGGTATCAAATCTGTCTTCAACTTATCGGCTACCTCCCCCTCCTATACACAATCGTCTCAGGACCTATCTATTGCTCAGGGGCCACTTCCTTTCCTCTCTCAGGACAGTCAGCCGGGATGCAGGGGACTCTACGAGGTAGCCGTGTTGTCCTGGAATGATAGCAAATGGAGAGAACAGGAGACAGCCTGCCTCCCTCACCGCTCTTGTCCAGTGGAATGTGTTTAGGAAGGCGCTGCCCACTACAGCAGAGATCAGCACAGGAGGGGCTCAGGTGGGCGTTTCAGGGCGTGCCCAGCTTACCGACACCCCTGCCGCCCGCCACCACCCCTGCCTTGGGTCCCCACCCGCCGCGGCCTGGTGACAGACCACCTCGGTTCCTCCCCCAGCCGAAATAAAGGAGATCTTTGCTTCAGCTCCGGGGACTTACCTGCCGGGTCATAAGAGACTTGATTTTCTGCATGTTGAAACCCTGTAAAGATTGTTCTATAACCAAAAGGTAACCAATTAAACCGGATGGCCAGAGAGCTGGCCCCAACACAAGGAAGCCATAGTGGGTGGTCACGTGGAGCCGCCGACTGGGGGGGGTCAGCCCGCCTATCACTAGGCATGCCGGGAAATGTAGTCTTCCGGTAGCTGTGGCGATGGAAGTCTCCTGCTCCGGGTACTACATTTCCCCAAAAGCACAGCGCGGGAGCCAAACTCATTGGCCCGGGTGGCCCAGGTGACTGCTGGCTTGCAGGCTTGCCCCTGGTGGTTCCGATTCTGCCAGGCTGAAATTTAAATCTCAGGCGAGACAGGCATTGAGCCAAAATAAATGAGTAAACGCTGGCGAGATTGAGAAGCTTGACTTACTGCTCGCTCGGAGTGCGCTGGAGGAAAACCTCCCGAGGTTTTGAGCGGTGAGCCTGGAACTCCCCAAAGACAGAGCCAGGGGGGTGCAGGGCTTGCCCGCGGGTTGCCCGGAAGGAGCCTGATCTTCCGTCTCTGCAAATGACCTGCAAAATGAAAGGATTTCGATTGAGATTGACACCGTCCCTCCCCCCCCACACACACAATCATTTTACTACTGTGTGAAAAGGCAAGTGCAGACAGAAAATAGGAGTGCACATCATGTCACTTTAAAATCCCATTTCTAAGTTTTAGCAGTTAACTTGGAGAAAGCAACAGGGGAGCCTTTCGAGGCTCAATTTTAACTTTCGAATTATGCGAATATCGGGAAAAAGTGAACCAAAAACTAATGATAACTTCATTACTAAATGCTTTTATGTGAGGAACTCGACTGATGGCTTTACCATGTATGATCTCACATGCACATGAGTGTCCTAAGGAAATAATACTGTTACCTCCATCTGAAAAATGAAGTAACGGGTGTGGAGCCATTTTGAACAACTCTGCTAATATCATTGCAGATGTAAGCAGCAACAGTAAAACTTTTTTGAGACATTCTAACAAAGGGTTTGATATACTGAAAATGGATTCCTAAAGCACGGCATCAAGACTTCTTAAAGTTCCATTTATTTTCATGTTTATTAGAAAAATATAATAGACCTGGGCTAGGAAGGTGGCTCAGTGGTAGAGTGCTTGCCTTGCATGCCTGAGGCCCTGGGTTCAGTTCCTCAGCACCAAATAACAAGAAAAGGCCGGAAGTGGCCCTGTGGCTCAAGTGGTAGAGTGCTAGGTATCCTTGAGCTGAAGAACTGAGGGACAGCATCCAGGCCCAGAGTTCAAGCCCCACAACCGACAAAAAAGAAAAGAAAAAATTTTGACATCATAGGTCTGTCTGTTATATTTTAGGACAAATAAAAAGTGTAGTTTCACTATATACATATATAGATATATATATATTAATAGAATGAGAAGTGGTCAAAATTGGTAACAAAAATAGTAAATGTCATTTATAAATGACAAGTTGTAAGGATTCTTTGGAGGCTTAAAGTTTATAAATTATTTTGAATTCTAAAGTAATGTTTTTCTCATGCACTCATTTATTAAATTTTGTAGTTGACGTTGTAATAGTTGACCAAGAATTTTGTTATAAATGAGACTACATAAGTAAATGCAATTTGTACATTGCACAGTAGTATTTTATTATGAAGTATCATTAGTTATAACTGACTATGCCTTTGTTCTACAGAACAACTTGTGCATACTACTTCTCTGTCATTCTGCTTAGCAATTCCTTTTGAAGTTATATGTTTACTTACACAATTCTCTGACTATGTTATTTCTGTTATTTCTCCCATTATTAGGACAATACTACTTTACAGCTTCCATTCTTTATTTAATCTTAATTTTAAACTAAACAGCATACCTTCAGTATTTAACAGTCTGAATGCATCAAAAGAAAGAGAAACTGCCAACTGTATTAGTATATAAAATTAAATCCAGGTCAATAAATGTTTGTTGATTGTTGGGCATGTGGAAATGCTATCTTACATGCTTTTATATTAATAAAGTATGGTTGTGGTCCTCAAATAATATGCCATTTGCTGATAATTATATTTTAGGGATCGATGCAATCTAATGGCTCCCAAACCTCACTATTCAGTGTTGCTACTGTTACATTATTATTTTCCTTTTACAGAGATGAGAAATTTTATCTGAATAAGATTTAGGGGGCACACATTTTATTAAAGCTTAATCCAGAACTAGAATATAGATTCTAGGTTGAATATAAATGCAATCCCAGTTTTCCCTCACACCCATACTCAAATATACAAAGTTACAGCTAATTTTAAATGAGTTTTGGTTTTCAACCCAGTGTATTAATTTCCCATTGACAAAATTTGAAAAAATAAATACATGCCACATCTATTAAACACCAAAAATTAAAGAATGTACTAAAATTTTGTTTTATTCTAGTAATCCATCATGTAGTTTCTTAACAACTGGAGAAGTAAACAACTTGAGCTACCAAAAGTTCAAAAGCTGGGAAGTGGTACTGTGGCTCAAGTGGTAGAGCACTTGCCTTGAGCTGAAGAGCTGAGGGATAGCGCCCAGGCCCAGAGTTCAAGCCTAACGACCAACCAAAAGAATAACATAAAAAATAAAGTGCAAAAGTTCAAAAGCTGTAATTATAATATTGAAAACCTGTAAATTCCTGCTATTGCCTAACTATATCAACAAAGCAGTATGTGGTAGATTTTTAGCTTGCAGAACCGCAGAGCTCAGTGTTACATAAATAGATTTGATTTTGGATGATAGATACACTTCATTTTTCAAATAACTCAAAAAGATGAAGCCTCTGGAAGCTCCAATAAGAGATCAAATCCTACTGTTCCTGGGGAAAATAATTTTTTGTCTTCCAATAAACATCAAAGCAGAGGAGAGGTTGGGCCTTACAGATGACATGACTATACTTCCCAAGCAGGTAGTACCAGGGAACAAACACTTGCTGAAGGTAAAACTGTGGCCTAGAGCTATACCCAGGAAGGATACTGCTGAATGGTCAATTTGCAGCTATAGAAGATATAGGCCACTAGAGGGCAGCATCGTAGACTTGGTTACATAAGAGTGTACATCAATACAGACATTCTCTTTGAAAACTAACCCTTAAAAGGAATCTGATCAAAGCAATAAGTAAACGATTACTTTCCCTAATTTTTCTTAAGCTCAATTGTTCTGTGTCACTCAAAATACTCAAAGAATATGCATTAGGCACACATCTGTACCAACTGTGGCTCACATCTGTACTCTAGTTATTTGGGAGGATGACAATGGGAAGACCAAGGTCCAAGGCTAGCCCTAGACAGAAAAGTTCACAAGACTTCATTTCAACAGAAGGAAGCTTGGTGTGGTGACACAGGCCTGTCATCCTAACAACTACAAGGAGTTTAAATTAAGTGAATAGTAATTTATGAGCAAACAATCCTAGCTACTCAGGAGGCTGAGATCTGAGGATCATTGTTCCAAGCCAGTCCAGGCAAGAAAGTCTGTGAGACCCTTACCTCCAATAAACTACTCACAAAAAGCTGCTAGTGGAGCTCTGGCTCAAGTGGTAGAGGGCTGGCCTTGAGCCACAGAAGCTCAAGGATAGCACCTAGGCCCAAAGTTCAAGCCCCAGTGTCAGTAGGAAAAAAAAAAAAAAGAATACAGATGTTTAAAATTCATGTAGCAAACATTTACTACATTAAACAAGACCACGCTTAAAATTTCAACTAGATTGCAAGCTATGAAGTATGAGTTTACAGGTAACATAAATGCCCATTCAACACGTATACATACACATACAAATTCACACACATGCATACACCTGCACAAAACCATGTATGTATTTATATGTGACTATAAACACACACAACCTCAGGTATTGCAAGAATAGAATTGCTTGAAATTTAATCAGCATGGGTATAGATTATTTTATATCAAGAAGCCTTCTCATTTTAAATGCAAATATGAATAAGGTAATAATAAAATACAGGGTTTTTTCCTGAAAGATGTGGTTCAACCCACAGAGCTCTTCAGTGGGTTGCACATGTGTGAAGTGAGATATTGATGTGAGAAATTTCATATAACAATAAAGCAGTTTTCAAGAATTTCAAGAATCATAAAATTAACAACAGTAATATTTAAATTTCATTCTTGCTTGTAGGTTAGACCTACCCACTTACCACTAGAGGGCAGATTGTCATAGCTCTGCTACAAGTGCTTCCTTAAACCACAGTGTGCCCTGACATGAAAGGTCACAAGTATGCTTCATTCTGTATCTAATTTATTATTATAACATATCCTATCACCCATATCATAAAACAATGGATTTTTTAAACTACAAAAGAAATATATTTAAAAAACAGAATAATACATATATCTTTTGACAGGAATAATGACACACTGTTAGAATCCTACTAATTGAGAAGCTGAGGCAGGAAGATCACAAGTTTGAAACAACCTAAACTACATAATGGGATCTTGTCTCAAAAAACCCCCACAAGAGTCCATGTCTGTAAATCCTAGCTACTCAGGAGACTGAGGTCTGAGGATCATTGTTCCAAGCCAGTCCAGGCAAGAAAGTCTGTGAGACTCTTACCTCCAATAAACTACTCACAAAAAAGCTGCAAATGGAGCTGTGGCTCAAGGGTAAAGGGCTGGCCTCGAGCCAAAGAAGCTCAAGGACAGCACGTAGGCCCAGAGTTCAAGCCCCAGTGTCAATAGGAAAAAAAAAAGAATATAGATGTTTAAAATTCATGTAGTAGACATTTACTACATAAATCAAGACCAAGGGGGCTGGGAAGGTAGCTCGGTGGTAGAGCGCTTGCCTTGCATTCCTGAGGCCCTGGATTCTATTCCTCAGCATCATATAAGCAAAAAAGAAAAAAAAAAGGCCAGAAGTGGCGCTGTGGCTCAAGTGGTAGATTACTAGCCTTGAGCTGAAGAGCTGAGGAACAGAGCCCAGGCCCAGAGTTCTGACCCCACAACCGGACCCAAAAAGAAAAAAAAAAAAAAACAAGAACAAGCTTAAAATTTCAACTAGATTGCAAGCTATGAAGTATGAGTTTACAGGTAACATAAATGCCCATTCAACACGTATACATACACATACAAATTCACACACATGCATACACCTGCACAAAACCATGTATGTATTTATATGTGACAATAAACACACACAACCTCAGGTATTGCAAGAATAGAATTGCTTGAAATTTAATCAGCATGAGTATAGATTATTTTATATCAAGAAGCCTTTTCATTTTAAGTGCAAATATGAATAAGGGAATAAACAATAAAATATAGGGTATTTTCCTGAAAAATGTGGTTCAACCCACAGAGCTCTTCAGTGGGTTGCACATGTGTGAAGTGAGATATTGATGTGAGAAATTTCATATAACAATAAAGCAGTTTTCAAGAATTTCAAGAATCATAAAAATTAACAACAGTAATATTTAAATTTCATTCTTGCTTGTAGGTTAGACCTACCCACTTACCACTAGAGGGCAGATTGTCATAGTTCTGCTACAAGTGCTTCCTTAAACCACAGTGTGCCCTGACATGAAAGATCACAAGTATGCTTCATTCTGTATCTAATTTATTATTATAACATATCCTATCACCCACATCATAAAACAATGGATTTTTTTAAACAACAAAAGAAATATACTTAAAAAACAGAATAATACATATATCTTTTGACAGGAATAATGGTAATTGAGAAGCTGAGGCAGGAAAATCACAGGTTTGAAACAACCTAAACTACATAATGGGATCCTGTCTTAGAAAAACCCCACAAGAGCCCATCTGTAAATCCTAGCTACTCAGGAGGCTGAGATCTGAGGATCATGGTTCAAGCCAGCCCAGTCAGGAAGTCCATGAGACTCTTATCTCCAATTAACCACTCTGAAAACCGGAAGTGGCACTGTGGTTCAAGTGGTAGAGCACTCTCCTTGATCTGAAGAGCTGAGGGACAGCACCCAGGCCCAGAATTAAAGCCCCATGACCAAAAAAACCAAAATCTTTACGTTGAGTAAGCTTAACATTAGGAAAACAAAACATTTTCTTTATTTCTTGGATATTTGCCAAGGACCCAACAAACTTCATAATAAATCATTACTTGTTTAGAAAGAACTTATTTAATAAGAGCAATTGGAGACTATTACTAACCTAAACCAGTTGAGGGAACCTTATATAACATCAATAGTATTTCCGTGTTACAATCCAAATTGTACTTTGTGAAAAACAATATAAAAATTAAATTCACTTATTAAATATCATCTGAGAGAAGACATAAGTCAAAGAACAGTTGGAATTTGATTGGGGGTAAATATATTAACAAAAATACTAGCTAAAAAATACTAGCTAATCATTATGATGATGATGATGATGATGATGATGATGATGATGATATAATAATAGTAATACATAAATGAGTAAAACTTTTTCTGTATTTGAAGATCCTAGGAGGAAATCAACATCTAATAAAAAAAATGACTTTAATGAAACAAGTGCTGCAACAGACATAAGCACAAGATTCAGAGGTAGAGTAGAGAAAGTTGGGGTATAGTTATTCGTGGGGTTTGGCGTTCTTACTATTTTATAGAGTTCATAAAGGAACTGACTTCAGAAAAGGACTCAAATTCCCAACAAAAGCCAATTCCTTTGATTGGGAGTTGGCAAAGAGTATTTCTAACCTTGGATTCCAAAGCAATTAATATTGTTGAGAATCTTGATACAAAGAGGATTTCTACTCTTGGATTCCAAAACAACTAGTATTCCTTTTTTTGTCTTTAATTACATAGGAGCAACACTTTTTTCTCATCATCAGACTCCTTGGGTGGGACTTTATTATTAATGATACGAAGAATTACTAATGATGCAAAGAATTTTACTTGATTTGAGGCACATTTGGTTATCTTACCTACTTTCCATTTCATATAGTGGAAGACATGGGCTAAGGCCTTCTTGAAAAGGGAGTACGCTTACAACTTAGCAAATTAGACAGAAGTGCTACCTGCTGCCACTGCTGCCATGACAATAAAGAGACTAAGTTTTAAAAAAAAAAATCTTTAGTCAGGTACCACAGTGGAGGCAAGATTTTATCTGGTCATTGGTTCACTGCCTCTAAGCTGTGGAAACGTGGTGTCAGATATTATCTGTTATTATAAGCTATTCATTATTATGCAGAGTCCATGTTTCAGCCCCACCTGGAAATGTACCTAGGATTTGCTTTTTTTAAATGAAATGATTCCATATAATCTATAAAACTAGAGCTATCATTTTACTAGGAAATATTACATAGAAATACACACTTTCAAAGATATTTGGTGCTGGGCTGGGAAGGTGGCTCAGTGGTAGAGCGCTTGCCTTGCATGCATGAGGCCCTGGGTTCGATTCCCCAGCACCCCATAGCAAAAAGAAAAAAAGCCGGAAGTGGCGCTGTGGCTCAAGTGGTAGAGCGCTAGCCTTGAGCTGAAGAGCTGAGGGACAGCACCCAGCTCAGGGGTCAAGCCTAACAACAGACCAAAAAAAAAAAAAAAGATATTTGGTGCTCTGTTTTGGTTCTTTTGTATAATTTTTACATGTTAATCAGTAACTTTATGAAGATTTATAACTGCTTAGCAGTACATGAACTACTTCAATTTTTATAGAAAAAAATTAATATCAAAATCATGGCATAGTTTTCAATGATAGGAAACCAGCTTTTATTTTTATTATGAAGTTAACCAAAAGGTGTCTTTATTCTTGAGATTATTAATAGGAATATAACATACATGAGCACTTACTGATAATTGCTAAGAGACGATTGTGAAAGTCACAACCCTGTGTTCTTGCGAAGCATAGAACAGGTGTTCCCGCTCCCTGTGTCTTGTGTATACACATTCATTCTGTATTCAAATCACAGAAGCAAGAAGCAGGATAGGGTCTGTTACCTCACTGCTAATTTCCCTGGCAAATAAACCAGCAGCTGCTGGCCCATGAACCAACTTACCACTCAAAACAGGCCACTGTATGCATGGGACAGGATGCTTTCATGGAGCCCCTTAGCTGCACAGTTTGGGTCATTCAGTGCAAAATATACCTCCTTCTCCTAGGTAAGGCTCTGCATGAATTGTATTGGGGTTTTTTTTGGGGGGGTGCTTTATTTTGGAGGGAGTGGCAGGCATATAGAAAATATTTGCCTTAAGCTTTAGATTTTTCTCAGATAAATACAGAGCAGGTCAGAACGTTTTTACTATTCCAGAAAAGAAGCACAACATGTAGGAGAAATGAAGTTCAATTAGTAGATTGTTATTGTCTTCTTGGAACAATTATTGTCAAATATGTTTGCTAAGAAAGTTAAGACATAATAAATTCTTCTTTCTACAGAATTTACTGATAGGATCAATAAGTCACTAATGCCTTTGGGCCAAATATTTTAATAAGGTGTAAATTATGACCACTTAGAATGAAACTCCAAACCATTTATGGGAGTGAATTCTTTTTTAATGAAATATATCTATGAAAGTCTTTGCCAAAAATGTTGAATCTGCTTTATTACAAATTATCTAACTTCTGAAATATAGCAAAATTCTCTCTGAATTGACAAGAGATACCTGTGTGCACAAGGATCATTTCTCTAAAATAACTTTAGTTTTCCTCTTTGCTGATTAAAATGTTCTCTGTTAGCATTATCCCTTTCTCCTTTTCATCCTTAGAGCTACAGGAGCCCCTGTGCCGTTCCTACTGCTTTATCTATCAACATTATTTTCACCTCATGTCCCCTTTTCTTTTTTCTTTTTTTTATAATTGTGAAAATACTGTACAGAGGGGTTACAATTACGTGGGCAAGGGAATGAGTACATTTCTTATCAAGCATTGTTGCCTCCTCCTTTGTTTCCCCTTCCCATCCCTTCTCATCTCCCACCCCCTACCCCCTTCATGTCCCCTTTTCTATTTTTTCTGTTCACAGATTTTAAAGGTTGACTTTGTTTCTTATTTTGTTTACATTCAACAGATAGACAGCCATTTCTTAAATTTTTAAAAACTACCAAGCTATAGAAGCAATATGAGTTTTGAATTTTCAGATAAAGCCTTCCTTTCTCTAATATGCTTCGTTACACTTTTCCTCATAAACATAAATTCATATTTATGTTTAATATTGAACAATCCACACATGCCTTCTAATTTTAAGTATTTTCCTGTGAATTCCCATGGTATTTGTTATCTGTCTCAAGCCTATAGTAGATTTTTTTAATTGATCAATTTGCCATAACTTTAACTGCTTTTAGCTTTGAAAGTTTGTGTTATTTTTATTTGCATAGATATTTAAATGATGTCTATGCAGTTGGTCTTAAGAAGAACATCCAATTTGTTATAAAATAAAATTAAGATGTACTTTAGAGAAATTATTATATTCAAGACTTTCCTTCTTATGCAAATGTATACCTCCTTTGTATTACAAAGACCACAAGTAATGTGGAAATCCTTTTGCTTTAATGTTTTAATTAAAAATTTTTTCTAGGAGTATTGAATTTTTGTTTCTATCTTTACAAACATACCTTAAAATCTTATAAATGGAAAACACACATATCATTTATGTACATGTTATACAATACATGTTATACAGTACAAAATATGATTTCATACTTTTAATTTTCTCTAAAGATGTAAGAGTTTGTTTTCAGTCAACAATAGTTGTGTTATGCTTGCCAATACCATGCATAGTAATGGGGAAAGAAATACCAACTATTTTCAGCTACAGCTGAGGTCACTCAAGTTTATATTCAATACAGTAAAACTACTCTTGAGAGTCCTTTGTTGCTAGAATATAGATAAATTTTACAGCATAATTCCAAGTATTACTTAACACTGTATACTTTCAAATGATTCTATTATCATACATCTTAAGACAGCCCCTACAGATGAAATTATTGCTGTAATTTTGTCTGCCACATTAGAAATGGTATTAGCCTTTGTGGTAGTGCCTTTTAAGCAAGAAGTGTAAGCATTTTCCTTTTATATACTCAGAAATCATGAATATAAACCTAATACACATATTTTATGACTATACATCTAATAAAATTAAACTTCCTTTCAAGTCCAAGTATTTGGAATATCAGAACAAGTTTAAAATTTCAGCATTTTATGTCATTTATGTTCTAGCTAAATTTATTTGTTCATGTAGAAAATGACTGTATAAAATTATTGCTTCAGTCTTTTAAGTTTGCTGATAGAAAAGCCCACTTGAAAGTGTCTCTGAATGAAGGTAATTGCTCTGCAATTCTAAGCTACTATGTTTCTCAACTGGCACTGTCTGCATCTATAGTGGGAAATCTATCAATGACAGAAGTATATGGTTCTAAAATGTAGAGGTAGCATCCAATTGTTCACGTATTCCCTGAACTTCACTGTAAGAACTGTATGATATTTAAGTAGCTGCTGTAAGATACTAGTTAAAAAAAATTTATTCCGGGGCTGGGAAGGTGGCTCAGTGGTAGAGTGCTTGCCTCGTATGCATGAGGCCCTGGGTTCCATTCCTCAGCACCATATAAAGCAGAAAAAGCCGGAAGTGGTGCTGTGGCTCAAGTGGTAGAGCGCTAGCCTTGAGCTGAAGAGCTGAGGGACAGTGCGCAGGCCCAGAGTTCAGGCCCCACAACCAACCAAAAAAAAAATTATTCCTTGCTGACATTCTTATAATTTGTGATCTATAATTGTTCACATAAATAGGGTAAGCAACTTTACAGCCATTGTAACAGCATCCTGTTACAGGCACTGTCCCTCAGCTCTTCAGCTGAAGGTTAGCACTCTATCACTTGAGCCACAGTGCCACTTCTAGCTTTTTCTGCTTATTTGGTACTGAGGAATCGAACCCAGGGCTTCATGCATGCAAAGCAAGCACTCTACAACTGAGCCACCTTCCCAGCCCCTACATATCTGTGTTTGTCCTAGATACATCTGAAAAAGAAAGCACACTCTAGGGTTAAAAAAACACTTTTTTCCATTTTATATGGAAGTATGAATATATATATTCATATATTCAATACTGGATTCAATACTCAGTTTTAATATTATAGATGAATATATATATATTCATATATTCAATACTGGATTCAATACTCAGTTTTAATATTATAGCCCAAAGAACTAGTTCTCCCCCCCACACTTCAATAGTGATTGTAAATGGCGTATAGTTATTTTTCTACTAGTGTAATTTGTTCTGGGCACATACTTTAAAATATATTTAATATTACATTAAATAAAATTTTCTTCTTATAACTTTAGTGCTAGTCTATTGAATCTGTCTTTTTATCTGTAAGTCCAACAATCTGCATCAATAGCTAAAAGGCAGTTCCATTTCTATTCTGGAATTGGATCCAGAACTCTGCATTTCTGTACTCCCAACTCTGCATTTCTGTACTCCAAGGCAGAGTAATAGCTCCCAAGCATTTGCAGACTATTAACTCAATTTTGATCTTTTCCAACTATAGTTGCAAAAAAAAAGTAGATTAAGTGGGCTTCTTCCCTTTGCTAAAACAAAACAGAAGTACACTAGAACTCCTACAATGCCTTCCCCAAATGACAAGAGCATAAGGCTCAAATTGCCATCCAGCTATCTATATCCACATCTGAGTCTAGCAGGGCTTTCTAGGGGAAGCTGCGACATGTCTTAAGTGGACCTCTAAGTCAATGACAAGCTGTTAACTGCCAGAGGCAGCCACCTCATTATGTGTCAGCAACCATGTAACTCTTCCAATGCATCCTCAAGGCAATGATGTGGATTCCCACCATGACCCCTTGGTTTCTTGGTTATAAACACAGAGCCACAACTTAATTAAAGAATATCCAGAGGTTGACAACTTAGTAAATGGGAGGAGACTCAAAATTCTTTGCACCCTCCACCTTCCAATGTAGGCAGCTTCAATTTGGTGAAAATACTTCAGGAGATCAAGTATACAAACAATAAATAACTAGAGATTATGGAGCAGCGTTATATTCCATTAACTATTCTTTCTGTTCACACATGAACAAAGAGAGTCTTAAAATGACTTACCTGAAGTCACATCACTGCCCAAATGGTATTTTATACTGTCTCTGTTCTTTACTAAGACTTAAAATTTCAATGGATTTGTAATTTTATCAAAGCACCAAACACAGTAATCTCTCAATAAGTTTAAAGACTATATTCCTAAATTCCTTTCTGAAAGGAAATTTTCAAGTGATAAATTTAAAACAGTGCCAAACATAGAGCAATGGAGTCCAAGATCTAAGATGAGCCATGTAAATATTTTCATATGAATCCAAATGGAAAAAGGAAACACTAAATAGCCAAAGTCACATTTTACATATCTTTAGTAATAATGGGTACAAAAAAACCTCATTTTTATTTATTGTTTACCAGGAAGTCATTAAGAGTTACATATTTCCAGTTTCAATGAAAAGCATGGAAATGCATTTTGTTTTGTGCATAGAACACAGGGACTAAGGGAAATCTTTTTCTGTTTTGGTCTCTCTTCCAAATATGCAATGTGATACTAGGTGAAGTGGCTCTCATCTGTGTTCCCAGGTAGGCAGAAATAAGAAAGTTTATGGTTCAAAATCACCTCAGGCCAACAGTCAGTGAGACACCTCCTCAACAAACAAGCTTGTCCAAGTAGTTCCCATTTATAATCCAAGCTTATGTGGGAGGTATAGGTAGGAATGATATAGTTTGAAACCAACCTGGGCAAAAAAGAGCAAGCTCCCATTAAAACAATAACAATGGGCTGGGAAGGTGGTTCAGTGGTAGAGCGTTTGCCTTGCATGCATGAGGCCCTGGGTTCGATTCCTCAGCACCACTTAAGCAAAAAGAAAAAAGCCGGAAGTGGCGAGTGTGGCTCAACTGGTAGAGTGCTAGCCTTGAGCTGAAGAGCTGAGGGACAGCGCCCAGGCCCAGAATTCAGGCCCCACGACCAGACCAAAAAAAAACCCAAAAACCCAATAACAAAAACAAAAAGGTTGAAGTTATGATTCAAACTGTAGGGTGATTGTTTAATAAGTAGGCATTGTTAAATAAGTAATCATTTATCGTTACTCAGAGTCTTGAGTTCAGATCCCACTCCTGTTAAAATAATGCTGAATGTCTTTTTAAAACTATTTATTAGGAGCTTCAACAACTCTCCCAACCTGTATTTTATATATCTTAAACATCATCTGTTTTAAGACAGATTTATGTTCCATCTTCCTTTTTCTCTCCCACCATTTCTTTGCAAAAACTACTATTCCTTTTTCTGCAATTCAGCACGTCTCCTGTTCAGTTTTGCCAACACACATTTCCCTCTTTTTCTACTAACTCTAACTGGGAAATGCCACATAACCATCTTGCTTTTTCAGAATAGAATACAGAACCAAATCCTCACTAAAATGAATGTGCAAGTACAGTCTATTATCAGAAAAAAAACTATGAATTAATCACAAATATATAGATTCCAAGGCAACAGTAAAGTCAGTCTATGTTCCCCACAGAGTCACATGCTTTTCCATCCTCTCAGTCTCTTTCAGTCAAGTGTCAAGGAGTCTTCTCCCTCTAATCCTCTTCTCACTTCTGCTTTGGGCTTTCTGTTGAATTCTTTGCTGCTAGACCTAGCTCCTAATATGGTCCTAAAGGTGAAGGCCATAGGAATCTTAGCTCCTACTTAAGGAAGGAAGGAAAGAAGGAAGGAAGAAATAAAGGAAGGAAATTTTGCTGCAGGGAGAACGTATTGGGAGCAAGCAATTTATTTGAGCTTCTCTGCAGAAGTCATTACAAAACACAAACCTACCTTCCCTACCCTATGTCCAAGACATCCCATAATATGTCATGGATGAAACTTAAAGACCTATCCCTTCCCGGTAACAATGAAAAGAAAAGCAATCAAAGAGGAAAGGCATTTGGTATATCTAAAATCCCTCTATTGGCTCCTAATTTCCATGTCTTCTCACACTAATCAAAGAGTTTCCCCATCTATCTCTTTCCGCTTCATTTGTATTTTCCTTTCCCAGAGCTACAAACTTGACCTCATAGTTCCCATTTCTACCTTCCCACTCAAGCCTCTGATCCCCTTCACAGCAACACTCCTCCAATGTGTCTGCACTGACACTCTCAATTTCCCATCTCATTCTTTCTTCTATCAGGGGTCAAAATACTCCATAGTTAAATTCCTTACATTCAAATTTAAATGCCCTACTAATTTCACTGCTCTTAAAGACCCATCTCTTCCTGGTAACAATGAAAATGGAAAGCAATCAAAGAGGAAAAGTTTTCATAAAGATGGAGATAGCATAATTTCCTCCACATAGAGAGAATGTTTTGAAGCAAAGAGCTTTGCATTATAATACCAGAAACACAGTAGCCTGGGCTAAATAGAACTCTTTTTGCACCACAAATACATAGAAATAGAAAAAAATCAAATTATACATATATGTAATGGTTTGATATCTCTAGATGCCAAAAAATAAGAAGAAATATTGAGAAATAAGAATTAGCAATGACTGTATGGCCGCAAACAATGTAAGCACTGCCCAGAGTTGTGTGCTGGGTAGAGTTCCATGCTCTGGGGGCAGTTCAGGCCTCTCATTCTCTCCTAAAATAGCTTTAATCAGACTCCATGTCTATTCCATTCATTCAACATTACCAATGGGTGTCTATGGGGAATCTGTAAATGAACATGTCAAAACTAACACCTGATCTCCCCCCACCCTCCACATACACACAAAATCCATTTCACCCATGATTAATGTGTTAGTTGGAGTTTCATTCATGTAAGTCAAGAACGTTGAAATCCTTCTTGACACCTTTGTTTCTTCTATTCCAACCTTTGTGTTTCAACAACACCTTTTCAGCATCACCAGCATTTTCCCACGACTGCTATGACCCTGGTCCACAGCACCATGTTCTCCTTCCCATCCTCTGGTTTTCTCTCTCAACTTGTGCTTGCCTCCAGTTCAGTTTCTTGACATAGCTGCTAGAATGAGTCTGAGAAAACATTTAAAAATCATGTTCTTCCTCTGTTGGCAAACTCCTGTTGCATTCCCATTTTAGAGTACCATTGCTGAAGTCTTTCTCATCCTGAGGTAGGTCGGTCCTGCCCAATCTGCCACAACCAGCTCACTGACCGGATGCTCTGTGTTGCTTCTTCTGATCCACTTTGGTCCTTCTGTGACTGCCCTTTGCTATTTTCCCAAATCACCAACCAGATTCTGATTGGTGGCAGCAATGATGGTTTAATGCCACTCTTCTTAAGTTATTCACAATTGGCAAGATGTTGGCTAGAAGGAAAAACTTCTTTTTTAAAAAAAGTGCTTTACATTATTCACCATAGCTAAAATATGGAACCAACCCAGATGCCCCTCAGTAGATGAATGGATCAAGAAAATTTGGTATATATACACAATGGAATTCTATGCCTCCATCAAGAAATTGAAAGACTTGGAAAAAATCATATTAAGTAAAGTAAGCCAGACCCAAAGAAACATAGGTCCTATGGTTTCCCTTATTTGCAATAACAAGTTATATGTCTAGAACAAACAGAAAAGGTCAAAAGCTATGTACATATGACAATATAAGATGATGTTAAGCGAAATGACTTCCAAGATAGAGACACAAGTAGTTTTTCTTACTTGCTTGCTATTGTTTTTAATGTACTTATAATGTACTATGTGATTTTTTTGTTTCTTTTATATGTTCTTCCCCCACAGTATAACCCCTATTTTCATTGTATTTGATTCTGTTGCCCTGAAGCTTGTATATACATTTTTCTAATTTGGGTAGGGGAAGGGAAATAACAAAATACTGAAATAAGGATATAGGTTGACCCATTGTAATGAGATATACACAACGAACTTTACAACTTTGGTGGGGAGGGAGGGAGGAGTAGGGGCAGTGGGGAGGAAGGGATAGTAGGAGAGAAACAAAGGAGAGGTAATAATGCTCTATAGGAAATGTACTCATTACCTTACTCGTAATTATAACCCCTCTGTATGGTATTTTTACAATTAAAAATATAAAAAGTGCAAAAAAGTGCTGTACCGGGTCATTTAATAAGTCATTGGAGAAAATCTTAGAAGGAAATCCCCCAACAGTTCAGAAATTATCATTTGATTAGGATATGACATGACATAGACATTAATATAGCATAATTTCAATTGTTCCTGATTGTATTGCTGCACTTTGGAACTAATAACCTTTGCAAGTTCTCCTTTTCCCACTATTCTTGAGATAATAACTTCTGCTTTCCCTTTTTCACATTGCTTTTAGAGAAGTCATGTGATCAGAATAGCCTTTGGGTGGAGTCTTTAAAATACAGAAGGTTTCAGAGACAAATATTTACTTCTCCCTGTAACTAGTACTGTAATAGGGAAGGCTCTCTTCTTTGAAAAGGATTATCATCTGATCAAGTTCTCCCTGCATTTTTCCCCTTCAAATTGTTACATGTGGCTAGAAGTCTTCACCACTTTTCTTTCCCTTGTAACAGGTACTTGTTCGGGGTTGAAAGTGACAGTGCCTTCACATACCGTCCATGGTATCAGAGGTCAGGCCCTCTACCTCCCTGTGCACTATGACTTCCACACTCCAGCATCAGACATCCAGATCATATGGCTGTTTGAGAGACCTCACACCATGCCCAAATACCTACTGGGCTCTGTGAATAAGTCAGTGGTTCCCGACTTGGAATTCCAACACAAGTTCACCATGACACCACCCAATGCATCCCTGCTCATCAACCCACTGCAGTTCACTGATGAGGGCAGTTACATCGTCAAGGTCAACATCCACAGAAATGGAACTCTATCCTCAAGTCAGAAGATACAAGTTACTGTTGATGGTGAGTTCATAATTACTACAAATAGAAAACGAATATGTATTTTGCATAGTGAGGACACTAGGGCTCTTGGCTTTAGGTCCTGGTCTCTGCCACACTGGACACATTCCTTAACACTAAAAACCCCAGTTTCTCAGGATGCTAGTGATATTTTTACTGTATAAGACATTCTGAGGACTGAATTGGACAGGTATGAAAGGGATATACACAGTGACCAATAAAAGATAACCAAGAAATAAGTAAGATTCATTTCCCCCCTGGGAATTATCAAGTACAAAAAATGCTGAGATAAGGAAGATTTATTTTCTCAATAGTAGAATGCTTTCTGGAACCTGAGAAGAGCTGTAATTTTTGTCCTGTGAAGAATTTATTATGCTATTCAGGGAAGATGAGCTCAAGAAATACATGAAAGGACAATAGAAGTTTCTTGTCCCTCAGACAAAGAACAGAGTCAGCTAACTTTCAGATATTTATTTTCTATATTAAGATATATAAGTGACATACCTTAAATGCACTATGTTCCATGCCCAGTTTCAGATTTTGCCGACTTTTCTATTTTTATAACTTATTTTTCTCCCGACATTTTTTCTCTCTGTTCATTTGACATTTCTCATTTTAGTGAATATTAAATCTGTTTTATCATGTACTCCCTCCTTTTCTCACATCCCACTTCCAGTACATAGGACATGTCTGTTGGCTTTACCTTCAAAATATAGTCAGAATCAAACCACTTCTCACCATTCCCAGCTACTATCCTGCTCGGTACCACAAGATGAAGACTGGAGTGTCCTGCTTCTCTCTTCAGCTTCTACTTCTGCCTCCTGCAGCTTAAAGCCTTCCCACAACTGTCCATTTTACTCAAAAATAAAATAAAACTACTAACTATAACCTGGAGAGACCAACATACCCATCATCTGTTTATCTCCATTCAGCTTTAATTCTCTGTTTCATTAATTTACTTCTATCTCCTCCTGGCTGGAGAATTTGGTCTCTTTCTGCCCTGATGTATATTTTCCATTGTAAGAAAATGTAAGCAACATACAAAATAAATTTTCTTAAGGAAGATGCATCAACTTCAACTAAAAGTTTGATATGAAATTAAAGTCTATGTGTGTATTAGAGCCAATTTGTATCACATGTCACCTGGTTACTTTCATGTCACCTAGTTCTCCCTGTGTTCTGTAATAAAACATAAAAAAAGATTATTAAATGCTAGATGGAGACATTGCCAGATGTAAAGCCCTTTGCTCCTGAGTGTCCTTTAACTCTGGGGAAAAATCATTGTTTTTATCATGTGAATATTCAAAATTTTCAAAAATTGATGAAAGCTGCTGAATGTGCACATATATAATTTTGACCCTTATCTATTAATTTCAAATTCTCAGAAGAAGTATTTACTATTCTTGAAATTTTTTAATTTGATAAATATTATGTGCCATGTGTCACACTCATCAACTAAAACCTTTTCCACAACTTGACTTTCTAACAGGAATTTTATTGGAATTGTCTCTTCTATCTCAGATTTAATATCAATAGTACACTTTATCCTGAGATCAGAACAAATCAGTGATGAAAATTAACCTTTGTTTTGTTAAAATAACCACCAATGTTAAAACAAGCTTGCAAAACAATCAAAAATTGAACAGCAGTTTTCAACAGAAAAGGAAATTGTGCATATGTGAGTTTCCAAAACTTTTCCTCAGTTCTCCAATATGAACTGTATAATTTTGCAGATGATGGATGAAATTTCAAGGTGACAATATCATTCCAACCAATGGCTCTTAGTACAAGTTAAGAGAAAGAAATAATCCTATAAACTTAGTCATTTATGTTGTTAGGAAATAAGGAAGTTGGCATTCTTAACCATTAACTACAGTATCTGTAAAGTTCTTTATTAGACAATAATTGAAGAGTATGGTCGATAATTTGCTTAACTGATGACAAGTAGTGTTTTTAAATTTGTCATTTTGTACTTTTTATGCCTTTTTATTCTCTCCTTTCATTATTGCCTAAAATGTCTACAATTATGAAACATAAAGCATCAGAATCATTTCCTCAGAATTTAATATTTGAAACAGCTCATAGAGTATTGTTATATTTATGAATGGAAAAATCATTTTTCTTTCTCTTGACATTATAGATCCTGTCACAAAGCCGATGGTGCAGACACATCCTTCCTCTGGGGTTGTGGAGTACGTGGGGAATATGACCCTGACATGCCAGGTGGACGGGGGCACCAGGCTGCTTTACCAGTGGCTAAAAAATGGGAGGCCTGTTCATTCCACTTCCACCTACTCATTTTCTCCCCAAAACAACACCCTTCATATTGCTCCCGTGACCAAGGAAGATGTCGGGAATTACAGTTGCCTGGTGAAGAACGCTGTTAGTGAACGAGAAAGTGACATTCTTGTGCCTACCATATATTGTAAGTTTTGCTTTTGGTTTTGTATACAAGCTTGTTTGTTTGTTGTGCTTCGGGGCATTCTCATAGAAGTAGGTATATACTAGTATCAAATGTCATTTGGCCTTTTCCATTATGGAGTTCATTACTAAAGTCACAATCACATCTCCTAGATATTGTTAGGTCATGAAATATATCTATTTTTTATAAATTTGTATTGATAGCTAATCATTTCATTTTTTTTTATCAGTCGTGGGGCTTGAACTCAGCCTGGGTGCTGTCCCTCAGATCTTCAGTTCAAGCTTAGCACTCTACCACTTGAGCCACAGCACCACTTCTGGCTTTTTTTGCTTATGTGGTGCTGAGGAATTGAACCCAGGGCTTCATGCATACAAGGCAAGCACTCTACCACTGAGCCACCTTCCCAGCCCCCATGAAATATATATATAAGCACACCCTTATTTCTTGAAGATCAAGTTGAAATACTGGCTAGATGCCATTTGGGATACAGTCTGTAATTCAATCCATGATAGCTGTGTTTTAGGAACTGTCCTGTGCAATATAAGGAGCTATGCAGCAGCATCCCAAGCCTCTACCCACTGCATACCAGAAGCCCCATCTACAGTGTAACAACAGAATATGTCCTTGGACATTGCATATGTCCCCTGAGTTATTTAAACACAAGAGAAAGAAAATATTAACAGGTACATTTTTTTAAATCTAGGAGCATTTGGGCATCTTTATGTTATTTTTTTGTTTTTCTTATTGTTTTCTCTATGTTAGTCTTATTGTTTTGTCTAACCTATGGGCATTCATATAAAAAAGGGCAAAGTAAAGAAATCTGATCATGTTTGGTTTTGGCCATGTACTGTAGCTGATATCATGTCTCTGAGGAGTGTGATAGACTGCGTAGTAGATATGAGCTTGAGTTGTACATTTGGACTGAGTGGAAGGGTTATCTTGCCATTACAAGTATTCTCGGGTGACTTTCTCTTTCCGTTTATCAGTCCCCTCCTCACCTTTTTTCTGCTGACCCCAGGGTAATACTAATTAATTGCATTAGTGGCAAGCATTAAATAAGAATTTAATAAGCATTAATATGAAGAATTTGTACATAAGGAAATTAGTGTATGGTGGATGAAAGTGCAACATGCATCCTACCGTCCTGGAAGCTGGGGTACAAGCATCGTAAGTTTTAGGTCAGCCTGTGCTACACAGTAAGTTTGAAGCCAGCCAGCCAGCCTGAGCTACATAGTGAGAGCCTTTATCAAAATACATAAATAAATAAGCCAGGCACTAGTGGCTTATGCCTGTAATCCTAGCGACCCAGAAGGGTCTGAGATCTGAGGACTATGGTTTGAAACCAGCCCAGGCAAGAAAGTCCATAAGATTCTCCTGTCTAATTAACCACCAAAAACGCTAGAAGTGGATCTGTGACTCAAGTAGTAGAGTGCTAGCCTAAGCAAACAAAGCTCAGAGACAGCACCCAGACCCTGAATTCCCACCTCAGGACCAACACAAAAACAGAAATAAATAAGTAAATATCTTTTTTTCAAAATAATAAAATAAAATTCATAATGGGTTGAGGTTATAGCTCAGTGGTAAAGTGCTTGCTTTACCATTATGAAGCCCTGGGTTCAATCCTCAGTACTAAAACAAATATGTTTCTTAAAAAAGAACTTAGTGTGTTAGCTCTTTTTCTTTTCAATTTTCTCTCTTTTTTTCTTTAACCTAAAACTATGCTAACATGATTGGAAACATGGCAGATAATACAGAAGATGCCTACAAAGACAAAACTGAAAGAATACCTGGAGAGGAAATTTTATTGCCTCCAAACACTATTATTCCTTAATTTAGCAGACTTTATTTTTCAGTGAAATGTTTTTCACATTTATATTTACATTTTTACATTTATATTTCTGTAAAATGTTTTTACAATTATATTTATACATTTATATTTTTGTAAAATATGCTTTTTACACCAATTCTTCCCAATAGCTTTCTGTCTGTGATTCTTCATTTGTCTACCTACCACTTAACTCTGACTAAAGACTTAAATGAAAATTCCAGAGGTGTAAAGGGGAATTGATTGAAGAAATAATTACGGGAACATGAAAATATCAGTATTGAAACATACATTTCTTTTGCTATGTAGTTTAATCTGGCAAAGCAAAAAGAAGACCTTTCTTTGAACATATGCAAGTGTATGCACCAAACAAATTATTAGTATGAAACATGCTGAGACATGGTGTAGAAAACATAAATAAGAGAATAAACATAATCATAACTATAAATATTAAATAGTGTGCTTTAGACTCGTAAGCTGTTTTTCCTATGTTAACTGAAGAACCAAAATGTGCTAATATGTTATACTTACAAAATGAACCTTCATTACATTATTAAAGATAATGCCTATGAAAAATGCTTAGAAAATTTACAAATCTAAATATTTAATATCAAAAGAAACTGAAATCTTTTATCTATTCTATAGAATTATAAAACCCTTAGATCTTAGGGAGCGGGGCAATACTGAAACTAAACCCAAAGTCTTGAACATGTTAAGCAAATATTCTATCACTGAGCTACACTAGTGACTATTACCTCTCATATCATAAATATATAAACATGACCCAGTATCATTCATTTAAAATGTTCTCTTGAAATCACTGTTTTTCTTCATTTCAGGAATAGGAATTGAATAAAATGAGAATTTGTCCTTCTATGATATTACACGTTGATCAGCATATTTCCAATTTTTACCATTCCATGCTAACAGGGAATATATGCCTGCCTGACTTAATGCTATCCAGGAGTTCACTGTGTTCCCTCCCTGTCCTGAGCAGATCTCTCCCCTGCTTCTCACTGCATTATGCTTTTCTTGATTTCTCTCCACTCATAAACACCCCACCTTCAAACATGAGTTCCACATGATTCATGTGTACACCTGTAGGGCAGAACTTGACACAGATTTTAAAACTCAATAAAGTTTTTGAACTTGACCAAAATGGAATAGATATCTCTGTTAATATTCCTTTCATAGTCTAGTGTTATTTGATAATACTATGGAAAGGTTAAGTTCCTATTAGAAGATGACAGCCTCTTCATTATAGTGCTTCGGCCCTTTTTTTCTGACCTTTAGCAAAGTTCCTCCATAATCTAGTAAGTGTCATATTCTAATATTCCCCCACAGAGGTCTAAAGCATAATTTAGAATTTCAGCATGAATCACCTATTCTGTTTTCTAAAACACACTGTTTCCATGACAGTTTTCTTTATGAAAACAGGAATTGGTTTTTATTTGGGCAGGAAAAATAGGTTTAATGAAGTTAAGCAAGATTGATCATTATTTATAAGGTTATGATGTCATAATCTATTATTAGTCCTGGTAGAATACAATGTCAAATCAATTATTTAGACAAATATCTACTTGCAGTTCACAAAATGCATAAGCCTTCTAGATCCAGCTGTAAATAACAAACTAGTAACCACAACATTTTGTGTGTGACATATGGCAGTGCTGCAGGGGGTTACTCAAAGTGATGAAATTAAAGCGGGGGGAAAGGTCAGCATGGTAAATACTTACCATCTGCTCCCAAGCAGAGTGGTGAGCAGCGTCATGACGGAAATTTAGGTATTGTTCCACCCAGCCATAAAATGTTAAAGAGAACAGATGATATTGATATGTGGTTTTACATGTCTTTTTGTAAAGTATTCCTGAGGCAAAGGGCTCATTTCCACTGGGAATTCTCTGCCAAAGGCAAGAAAGTGAACCATTATCCAAAATTAAATGGAATTATCTTTCTGCTTTCGTCCTCACTATAAGAGACTGTTCTGTTTGAATCACTCTAAAAGTCTCCAACTGGATTGCCTATTCACTTGAATAATACACTAAGCTTTACTTCCAGTAGAAGGATGGTCAGCCTGGAATGATAATGATACAGGAAATAACATCATAGTATAGTGAAAAGAAAATAGTAGGTAGTATGTAGAGTGTTGAAAATAGAGGTATGGGTTTATGTGAGACAGATTGACAGAGACAGACAGAGACAGAGAAGTCTTGATCATACAACAATGCCAACATCTGCATTTGAGCTATTACTCAAATTACAAATGACTTTTCATTGGAAGGCATCTTGGAATTTTAAGATTTGGGTAATGATTATACATTTCTTGTAGTCAGATAAAATGTGAAGATATCATATCAGATACAAGGAAATTGGGTTCCTCAAGGTGTTATGTTTCAGGATCTAGAAGCGATGCTTCGGGAGGGGAAACAGGCTAGTTGAAGGGATTTAAGGTTGACTCTGAAAAGCTTGATGTGGTATATAATGAGTTATGAAGAAAAGATTGAACTGATCATGAAGCCAAACAAATGAGCTCAAATTTGTCAGGTAAGATAATCAGATCTTTTTCTTTGAAAGTATATTTTATGTCATACTAGAGTGATTTTATTTAGTAAGGTTATTGATCTTTGTTCAGTTACCTTTGTTCTAAATGAACCTACAACATGAATCTACCCACTATAATTGAAGAATTACTACAGTGAAAACATTCCATTATGTGGCAGGATCCAAGGACAATTCCAAATGAGGAATTCCAACATAGTTCTGAGTAACATTAACATACTTTGAAAGGCATAATTCTCATTTTTTATTAAATTACAAGGAAATTTTATTTTTATAGTCACATTTTGTATACCTCAAAAGTCAATGAGAAGACAAACCTAAATTTAATGAGATTTTTTTATTATCACATTTTTCTATCAAATTTTGCCTTGCTCTGCTCTCAAATGGCTCTCAGACTTAATTGTATGTTTATAAACTCATCCCTTACTTTTGCAAACCACAGAGGATTTCTTCCATTGGTTTCCTTCCATGTGAACCATGCCCAGTGCCCCCTGGCCAGAGGGAACTTTACTTCCCTGATATTCTAAGAATGCTTACAACCTGAAGGGTCTTCAATATCTCAACTTACCCCTCCATACCTAAGTATCATGTGTACAATAACACCTCAATATTGATTTTTGCTAAGTGGGTAAAAGCAAATTTTCATTCCTATTCTAGTACTTACCATTCAGTGACTTCAGAATAAGAGGGTTCAACTTTATTTTTTTTGAGGGTTCAACTTTATATGCACTGTTCTACACTCCATAGCCCTGTGGTTTCTTTCAGCTTAGATGTGAATACAGTGTGACAAGATGCTAGTGTAGTCACAGGAACAAGGTATGCATTGCTCCTCATTTCATTTCATTGCTTTAATTTGAAGGTACAGTTAGCCTTTCACATCTATAGCATCAGATGTTCAATCAGCATATTCAACCAAGCTCAGATTGTGTTTTTGAAAAGAAATCATATATGCTGAACATGCACATACTTTTTTCATGCCATTATTTCCTAAAAAAAATCAGGGACAACTGTTTTCACAACATTCACATTGTATTCAGTAGTATAAGCAATCTAGTGATTATTTAAAATATACAGGAACATATGTACAGATTAAATCCAAATACTTCAAGTTTTATACAGGGACTTGAGCATCTACAGATTTGGGTATTGTCGTGGAGGCCTAGAATCCAGTACCCAGAATACTGAGAGGGATGAACTAGTTTTTAGGTTTTCTTTCTGAAAATAGAGTTACCTCATGTAAACATAATATAAACCAAAAGGGTTTTTCTCCATGTCCTTAGAAAGCAAATATGCATAAGAGTAACTTCTCTAGCTATATATAATTGATTGTTTGGTATCTTCAGTTTCTCATATATAGTAGGAAATTTGTTGCCAATAGTAGATTGGTCAAAAAAATGTTGGTACAAAGGAGAATCACTCTGGGAATCTGAAATTTGAGATTAGTTTCCCAGTGTCTATAACAAATAGCTTTATGTGGCATGGTCATGGTGTTGGAAAGGTAGTAAGAACCTGGCAACCAGTCAGCTCATCCTCTTTCATATTAAAAGAGGAAGGAAGTTAGATCCAAAAAAGCTTAAATTACTTCTACAGAACACTTAATTTACAACTGATTTGCCCTAAGGTCTAATCACTATTTGTATTATCACACATGCTTACAGCTTATTATACTCAGCATTATTTAAGAACAAAAACAGGACTTTTGTAATTAGGTCAATACTAGGCAACCCATTTATAGTTTTATCTGGTTTGTAATTTCCAAAAGAAAACAAATTGTTTTTGTTTCTCATACATTAAACATGTTACCTTTGAGCATCTTCCAAATACATCTTTACTGAATAGTTGATTGCCTAGTTTACAGAATTATGTAACTGGATTTATTATAGAAATTATAATATAGTTAGGCAACAAAAAAGCTTTCTGATACAAAAGTTACATCATTTAAATTTCTCTTTAGGAAAGTAATACAAATAACTAATCGAACGTATTTTAAGAGTCCCACCACTCTCTTTAATAGTTACTACAGCTCTTGTCATTTCTTTAAAGGTTAAATGTGGCTATATATATAAGTATTTAAAATCCCTTCACCTAGAAAATAGCCAATAAATGTCCGTTGTGATCACCTGAAAAATGAGTACACTTACATCTAAAATGTAAGCATTTTAGATATAATCCAAGATATAAACCAGTGGAAAAATTTATATAGCTGTAAAATATTTTAACCTATTTTTGGGAAAGCAATAAGATATGTCCTTATCTTCTGGTGTTTGATGTAGAAAATTAAAATGCTATAGTAATATGGTAGCATAAGGGAAAACATCATGGGATATATGTAATTAAGTTGTTTATAGTGTTCATGACAGTGAACATGCACACTTTCCAAGTGAACTTATAAACTTAGCTTAGTGGGGAAATTTTCTTAAATCTTTAACTTAAAATCTTATGAAAATATGAAACACTCCTATATCTATTTGCATAAATCTGTCTTCCTTGTGAAACTATGTCTTTGATAAATATTTGCATGAGCTATCCTAGCACTGAGGAAAAAAATAGGCAATTTTCAAAGAATGGTTGTCAAAGAAAACTGCCCATAATATGTTGTAAAAATATTTCCAAGTGCAATTACCATTTCAGAAAGACTGAGCTTGCCTAACAAGAGTGCACATTTCTCAAAGAATTGTTGGAAAGCTAAGCCTCACAAGGATGAGAGTGTCTATACAATTGGAAACCAAGTTTCAGGCTTTCACTATTATAAATAAATTCAATCTCAATGGTTTTGATTCTTAGAAATATCAGAATCAAACAGAGTAGATCCTCATCACTTATTGGAAGTCCAAGTAAGGACCTGTTTTTTATACACATCTAAAGAGAAGACATGCAGAGAAAAGTAAAATGCTACCAAATTCTCCCAAACTATGCTGTCATAGTTACCTATTTCTTTTTTGCATTGATTAAGATGGACCTTATGGACTTCAAGTTAACTCTGATAAAGGCCTAAAAGTAGGAGAAGTGTTCACCGTTGACCTTGGAGAGGCCATCCTATTTGATTGTTCTGCTGATTCTTATCCTCCCAACACTTATTCCTGGATCCAGAGGACTGACAATACAACATATATCATTAAGCATGGGCCTCTCTTGGAAGTTGCATCTGAGAAAGTAGCTCAGAAGACAACTGACTATGTATGCTGTGCTTACAATAACATAACTGGAAGGAGGGATGAAACTCATTTCACAGTCATCATCACTTCTGTGGGTAAGTCTCTATGACATAAAAGGAAGGGGCTTCAATGTAGTGCAAATGTGTGATGGCCTTGCTTTCGCCTAGCTAACGCCTATGTGAAAGAGAAAATCATTGTGGGGCCTTTTAAGTGCTCTGTTTCCTAGGTTAACTATCTGGGTGTCAGACTACATCTTTATGTTCACTATAGGTAAAAATGTGTCTATATTACTTAGAAGTGTATTCAATTTAAGGATCTCCCACTGCCTAAACTTTGTCCATTAGTATCTAGCTAAAGTATTTTCATAATATCAGAAGCCACATTTTTTATTGAGATCTTACTAAAGGCCAAAAAGACAGCTACGGTCTTAATGTCAGATAGTTACCTTTTGCAAAATCTAAAAGAACCTGTTTGACCTGTATGCAGACCAGCATTTGTTATTACAGTAAATAAGAAGAACAGGTGCTCATTTTTCAAAGGGGATTCGGGGTTGCCAACATTAGTGACCTCTTTGTGGTTTTCAGAGCTATTTTTTAACCCTCAAATGTCTACAGAACATTAACTCAAGGGAACCAGCAAAATGGAGAAAAAAATAAGTAGCATTGATGTTCTTTATAAAGTAATTTTTCCGTTTCTAAGTGCATTTCTGCAATGTGGCTTAAGTTCCTACTTACCTCCAGTTATAAATGACCATCACTTACAGCTACCAAATGACCATCCACACTGATGAATAAGTTATATTAAAATCGGTGGGGAATTTGAAATTATTTACAGGGGCAGGGTATCTGCCTTTGAAATGTCTCCAGAACCAGGTTTGTGTTTGATATAGCCAGAATCAAGTTGTAGGAAATAAATGAAGCTCTTTGTTTTTAATGAAGAAAAAACAATGATGGCCAGCCAGTGAGAGATGTGGAGAGCAAAGGGAAACAGACTTAAAGATGACTGCAAGGTCAAAACTATGTAAAGAAAATAACAAGGTCAGAGAATAATTAAAAGTTGTACTAGAGATTTTCAGTTGAGAAGAGGAAGGCTAAAGAATGTGACAATTAACCCTGTATTTTTCTGCCCTTGGAACACTAGACCATTTGGTGACTTCCACCACTGTGGGATATTAACTCACATCTAATCTGAGATATTAATTAACTCACATGGCTAGTGAGTAATAAAATAATATCTAACCTTTTTCTTTTTAACTGCTAGACAAATTGTATCCCATAATATTACTGAAAATATTGAGGAGACTACAGTCTTTCTAAAAGATATATATATATATATATACATATATATACATAGTCATGCAGTACAGATTAGATATTTTCCATTGTCTTAATTTAATTCTATATACCTATAGATAAATGTACGTATTATAACTTAAAATATACTGGATGTTTCAAGAAAAGAATAAGCTATTAAATGTTAAATGTGTACTTGTATTTTAAAAAGTAATTATTTTGTTGCCTTAATAAGGAACTTCTGTAAATGCAGATACCTTTCCTTTAAAATGGTAGATAAAACTAGATCACTGTGATGGCAATTAGTGTACATAAAAAACTGCACATATGAAACTGTAATTATGGGATGAGAACCCCAATGTTTCTATTGCCCTAAGATTACAGAAATATAGCTTGCAATTGGGTTACAATAGAAATATTTTAAACAACTTTGTAAATATAAGAAATCAGTCATTTAAAAACTATTCATATTCACAATTTTTCATGAAAAAAGTACAAGTAAAAGATACAAGGTAGAAAATTTAATTTACTAATTTCTCCTATATACACTTTCTCAAGGAAGTTTCCAGGAGATCTACCTCACTTTTGGTCACTAGAAATAACAGCTGATATAAACCTACCACCTTAACATCCAGACTCAGCACTTTGATGACACCCCATGAGCGTCTACTATAAAATGTTTGTTAGGTAGGGCGGGGCCATGATGGAGTGTGAAACCGCACAGACCTCAATGTGGCACCTTCATCTCCATAGGGATCTGAATCCGCTGCCATAATCAGTGAACAGATTGGATGGACTCCATTCTGTTCCAGAAAGAGACATGCTGACTGGTAGCATATGTCTGGCCTGTTTTGGGTGCAGTCTCAAACAGCAGGGTTATGATGCCATGGATACCACACCTCTTGCCCATATTTGCATTCAACATGTTATTCCATTTTATATGTTTGCTTAGGGAGGGGGCAAATAGCTTTTGCACTCAAGCTTTGGTAAATGAGTCCATGGTGTTTAAATAATGGAGGAGAATGGCATGCTATGTGCTCACGAATAATATGATCTCTCTAAAAGCAGAAGAAATAAAAAAGCAGAGCTCCTAAAAGTGCCCAGAACTGCCTTAGGGATTCACACATTCTCTGGATCAAGAGTCAGAGTTTCTCCACTGTGCGATTTTCAAGTTGGGGTGCTTAGAAAGTTCATCTATGTAAAACACCTTTGCCTAAGACTGAGAGCACAATTATGTCCTTTGGTTTGTGTTCTGGGCTAGAGAAGTGCCAAGAGCAGAGAACTAGAATGTTCTAGAGGCAAAGAAGGCTAGGAAAGAACGTTTGTTCTGATTTTCATTAGAATGATCAGAAAGACCACTCCTTGTTCCCCACTCTCCAAGCCTGGACATGATTAGCCAAAGCTTAGGGCTGATAAGCACTAGTCATTCGAAGGTGGTTCTCTGAAGTAGGACAGAGGCCAAAGGGAAAAAGCAAGAGGGCAATAAGGAAGAAGTCTAATGAAAAGAGGAAAAGTGGAGGATGGGAAGCGTGTGATCCTTTGTAGAAGAGAATGTGCAAATTGGGTCATGTTAGTAAATACACATCAAAAGGGACAAAAAGTTCACAGTGAAGGAGGGAAGAAAATATGTCTTATGTGTTTCAGGGAAAGACTATTCGATGTTGTTTGATACAATTACTACCAGATATCAGAATCACGAAAATGTCTGGCAAAGGGTACACGTGTAAAGAGAACGAGAAATAGTTTTTGTTAGCATATTTTCAAGCTGAAAAACCACAAAGACTATGCTGTTTTCCTTCCATTATACTCATGGTAAAGACTATCAAAGGAGCTTCAATAGAATAAATTAACACTTAACTCTTTCTTAAGGCTCAAGGGCTACTGAATTTTGGTAAAGGCGGCCTGATTTTCATCATGAAGTAAAAGATGTGTGGTGTTAAAAAAGGTTAGGGGAAAAACTTACTATTTGCTGATTTTTAAAAACTTGGAACACATATTAACAGGAAAAAAAATTCAACTCCAACATATATTACAGTTTCTCTGTTAGCACTTATTGTGGCCATTATTTTACTGACAATTTCTTATCTGTACCTAAAAGTAGTTCTGTAATTTTTTATTATACTCATTATTATTCATAGAGTACAACGACACCAAGTAAACGGGGAGCATATACACATCTGCTTTTATGCACACATAGAATATATACGATATACAAAAAAAAATGAAAATACTACTTTTTAACATCTCAGATGATTTTATCTTTAATTGGCTTATCTACATATAAAGAAATTATGGAAAATATAGCAATATAGATTAAATTTAAATTTAAATGTTCTGTTTGCAATCATTACATTATGTATGGCACACACACAAAAAAAAGCTGAAGAAAATTCCTTTAGTCTTCAAACACTTATTCAGTTCAACAAAGTCATCCAAGTAATGATGAATAAAGTTTCAATGTACATCATTATATCACTTTTATCCTATGAAATACCAACTAACATAGTAATGTTGCTGAATTTGGATAGCCATCAAGCATTTATTTAAAGTTTAATTTTGTCAAAACATGGTTGAACTTCACCCCTAGTTAATTATTGATGTAAGAGTTGAACAAAAATCCTAAGTACTTGTGAGAATCAACCAGCTATATCAAATTGACAATAATAATAAATATTTTCTTGTTATTTGTGAATTATGTGTTATACATCCTTTATATCTATATATCAAACCTATGTTAATATGGTATATATATATATACATATATAGTACATATGTTGACACTGAGTTATTAGTATACAATGATACTGTATCCTATTTACATATTAAGCTTCATACAAACTGTCTGCCCCAAATCATAGCAGAGCAGAGCAAGAAGACAACTTAAAGCTACATTTCATCTTCTTACTGTAGTAATATGAAAATCAAAATCCTGAAAGTCAAGTGGCTTACATAAAGTACACAGTATATTGTATGCAGATGTATTTAAGACCTCCCAAAATTTACCAGATGCTAAAGTAGTTCCAAACCTAAAGACTAATTCACTATACTAGGAAAATATTGTATATTATACAACTTCTGAATGAAGCAAAAAGGCCAGCTTTCTTTCTGTTCCATTTTATGGTGGTCTACCCTATATCTGACACCAACCAGTACACTATCATTCTCGCTCACTTTTTAATATTGCTACATTTATTTCTTTCTCCAAAATTTAAATGACTGTTTAAAAACAATAGATATAATTTTTTCCAAGCCTTTCCATTTCCTAACAAATGGGGCAATGTCGTTCTTTCTGATGGAGGCATAAAATTCCATTGTGTATATATACCACATTTTCTTTTTTTGGGGGGGAGTCCAGTCATGGGGTCTGAACTCTGGGCCTGGGCGCTGTCCCTCAGCTCTTCAGCTCAAAGCTAGCGCTCTACCACTTGAGCCACAGTGCCACTTCTGGCTTTTTTCTTTTTGCTTATGTGGTGCTGAGGAATCGAACCCAGGGCCTCATGCATGCAAGG